AGTTATCAGACGAATGTACCAGTCAATCTGCCAAGTTGAAAAATACAGGTAGTCATAGGAAATCACCATGTCTAGTTACAGTGATTCGAAGAGAAAGAAACGCGTAGCAATCAAAATTTATTTTTTTATTCTTCACCGGGCTATTGAATATGGTGTCAAGAGACTACCCAATCTATATTTTGCTATAGAGTCAGGTATACTTTTAATAAAGATAAAAACTGAAGTGCTCGAAAATGAAACCGAAACATGAGCACTGAAGCTCATGGCCGAGACCCGTGGACGATGTGTATTAAGGAGGAGGGAGAAATGTAGACGAGGAAATGCCAGAAGTCACGTGGCTCCCGCCGACCGCGTTTTTTTTTTCTCTGCTTCTTGGGCGAGTGCAGCAGACAACAACGACGACGAACTTGCGTGCACCCATTATCGTGCGATTGTTTCGCACTCATGTCCCTTCGGCTCGACGTTCTGCGCTTGAAGATCGATTCGCCGGAACTACGAACAACATGAACTGAAGAGCGTTTTGGCAACATTGACTGGCAAAAGAACGAATAAAACAAACTCGGGACGAGGGAAGACGAACATTTCCCAAGTAGCGGCCCCACGTCCATTGCAGTGTTGGTTCGTCGTGCAGCGTCGTATAGCGTCGTCCAGCTACGACGCTATATTGAGAATAACCACTGATCACTATGACTCTTTGCTGGATTCACTCGCGTTCGCCCGCTCCGCGAGTGCGGCCAATGCCACCACGATCGCCCATATTTTTGGTAGTGTTATATTATCTCTAGCCACACCATAATAGTAGGGTGGCGCAATCTACCGCCCGTTAGATAGGGTACACATTTTCCACCCGCAGCTGGCTGAAGGGTGGCAGGGCGACTTCGTGGAAACCTTGGGAACAAATAAATAATTTTTACCCCAGCGTATCACTACGCGCCAGGATAGTCACAAAAACACTGAATGCTTGCCGATGGTAAGTTCTTGTCTTTTCGCGATCTGGGCGATTTAAACAGCGCGCCGCACAACATGACGGCATAATCGACCTTCCTCTGTCGCATCCACTGAGTTTCAAGAATCTGCTTGGTTCGTCGAGCGATTTACATTAAGCACGAAATATCACCCATGGTACAATCTGCTAGACCCACGGCTATCTTTATGGCAGCCTGCCTGCCGCCACAGCGTTGTCTGCCATATTATTATCATGGCTAGAGATGGCCGACCGTGGCCACATTTCTGCGCATAGGCGTATCTGTGCAAACGCGATACAGCAAGTATTCTTAGTATGTTTATACGGCCTGAACTTAGTCTGCGTCAACGGGCGACTTGTCTCTCAGCTCTAGATGAGCAATTTAACTAAGTTCAGTACTACCCCTATAGCCTGGTGTCTTTAACGTACACCAGGCAGTAGTAATGCACGACCTCACGCCGGTACGATGCTCATACAGATTGAGAAGAGCAGGGGTGGGGAAGAATGAGGTGTACATGTAGTACAGAGAGTTTCCGAGGAACGCGAGCCATGTTTTTTCGGCCAGGGCAGCCAAAGTATGCATCCCAGGAAGTCTAACATTCTGTGGAAATGTGACGCTGGCAGTTGAGATAGAAAGGAAAAGTTTTATAACAAGGCATTATCTCGATCAGAAGATAATAAAAAAAAGCAAATGTTCGATATGAGCCGACGTCTACCTATGCCTAATATCGTTAAAACAAGAAATGACACGGTGAGAGCATATCGCATTTATTTCAGTGAAAGGTAAACGGAAGAAATGTTTTCAGCCAGAAAGAGGATGTTGTTTTCTTCGCTGCTGACAATTTGTGTTTCCATTGAATTAGATACTACAAGCGCCTACAGTGTGGTTTCTTGTTTTGACGATATTAGGCTTAACTGGACGTCGGCTCATAGAGAAGATTCATCTTTCTTAATTATCTTTTGAACTACGTGACGTCATGTTCTCGAACTTTCGAGTTCTATTCGAACCGCTAGCGTCACATTCTCACGAAGTTAGAGCTTTCTGCGATGCTTTGTTTATTTACCGGAGCTGAAAAACACAGTTCTCGTTCCTCAGGAACTCCAACCACTTCCTGTTATCTGCTCATATTTTTTTTTTTTTGTTATCAACGCATTTCCAGTTTTTTGGAGGCCAAGAAAAAGGATTTCACGTACTTTTTCATTCTTAATATTGAATGTCTCCCTTAGATGACCCTCGACTTTGAACATATTTGGTGCACATAGTTTTACCGCCACGTGACCATAGAAAAGAGAGTGAGCGCGACTGAAACCTGCCAATTCTCGAGCGACTGCTTCCGGGCGGAAAGAAAAACAATTTTGAACCACAAATCGTGTTCTGGGTAGGTGGGCTCTCAGGCCATGTTCAAATAAAAACCTCGGCAGGTATTAACACCCTGTCCAAATTATCTGATGTAAATCAAGTAAATCTGAATTACCTAAATATTTCCACCCTGCATGAAATGTATTTTGACGAAATCCTCAATCCAAACGTTTTTTCCGTCCGTCCGTACCTTTCCCATTGAATTTAACAGGAAATTTATGTCGCGTCGCCCAGAAATCAATTTATTGTTCCTATTATAATTTGAAAAAAAAAAATTTGTTGTCACGTGACCCGACGTCACGAAACCGACACAGAAATTAATTTACTCCGCTAAGTTTAGCGAGAGAATTTATGTCACGTGACCTATAAACCAATTTAGTTTCCTGCTAACTTTTTAAGGGATATTGACTTCACGTGACTTCTGTGCTAAAGTTAGTTTGCCTGTTAGATTTAGAGGAAAAATTAATTAAAAGACAGGTTCTTCTTCACTACCCAAAACGACAGTTTAATGAAGCCATGGGGAATTCTTGCCTTAACTCGCGCGCGTTGTTGGTTTGGTTACATCCATAGCGCAATTAGTAGGTCCAAGTATGTTTTTGAGCCGTCCTATGTATCAGAGAGAAGAAATAATTAAAAAAAAAAATTTCCATTTCGCAGCAGAACTGGTGTTCCCGAATGTTCTTTTTTCCCGCTGTCGATTGAAGATTGGAATAACCTGCCAAGGAACATTGTTGAAACGGCATTATCAGAGCTGTTTTTAAAAATATTCAATGTTACCTCTAAATACCGCAGTTCATTACGTCTTGAATAATTGTGTTTCATCTTGTGTTTGTAGTGTACACATTTTATGTATGTGCCCTTCCCCACTATAATGCCTCTTCAGGCGATGTAGGTGTGCAAATAAATAAAAAAACGAATTAAATACGGGTTCCCTCTCTTCCGCCTGTTATCTGTCCAGAGCGTCGGGACGTCATTGAAGGCATCCCAGAGTCAGGTTAATGGTGAGCAAGGTTTAACTGACCTTGCTAATGACGTAACTTTGGCATGGTTTTCTCTCCAGTTTAGCGCTTTCCTACTGTTGACGCGCCGCAATAGGCAAGTTGACGTCGAATTTTCAATTTGCTATTACGACCCTGCTATTTATAAGTTCGAAATAAAATTTAAGCCATAGATGCCTAAACCTCAACATTTACTGTTTGTTTTAATTCAAAAACCTTTTCAGCTCCCTTTTTAAGGGGCACTGGCAGGGTATTTTTGCTCGCCAAGGTTTTATTTGTACATGACATATGAGATCCCAAGTACCGAGAAAAAAAAAACAGTTTGCGGCTCGAAATTCGTTTTCTTTCCGCCCGAAAACCGCCGATCGAGAACTGGCCGGTTTGAGTCGCGCTCACTCTCTTCTCCGCGGTTACGAGCCGTTTTCTATGGTTTCGACACAACCACCAAATATAATCAAAGTCTTAGGTCATCGAAGGCACACACATAATATTAACAATAGAAGAGAAATATGATACACATTTTTGTGGCTTCTAAGAAGCTCTAAATAAGTTGATTAAAAAAAACAAAAAGAAGTTGCACAGCCACGTGATTTCCGCCAATTCTGTCCTCGATATTTTTTCTTGCTCCTCAGTACAGTCTAGGTTTTGGTTTCGAGCAGTGTAGTTTTTTTTTTTTATTTTGTTAAAAATATATGTGGCGCTGTAGGAAATTATTGATTCCGTAGTCTTCTAACACAAATAAATCACCTGAAGCCGTTATCGGCGTTGTTTCGCAGCAGATTCCCTGGATGTGAACCATGTAGAGTCGTCGTGGCACGTACCGTCACAAAGTTGCACGACTGCATCGTGTCACATGACGTCACGTGGATCCGAGTCGTTTCTCGGAAAATTTGTTTTCAACCAAAATATAGTGAAGATTTTCCAGAATTTTTATCGTGGAAGCGTACGCAGCATTTCCTGGCTGAAACGTAGAAACCTTTCCATAAATTTAGCGGAAAAGTTGTCCTCTAAATTTGGCGGCTGTGTGCAGCAGAGTTTGTTCAGCAAGCTGTGCAGCACCTCAGTTGTGTCGCGGCAGTTCATGTGCGACGCACGGCAAGGAACCGGGAAATTTAATGTCTCTGCCAGACACGTGGCTGAAATATAGCAACTAAATTCTCATACTCAGTACTTCCTCGAAAAGGAACTAAGTACACTACTCATTACTACGATTCAAAAGAAACGCCTTGTCTCAGCTCGAAGGTAACGCGCTATTTTCTGGTTACTCTGAATCCGTTGTGTTTATGAAACAGCATCAGCTTCCTGTCATTATGATTTCTGGCGTGTGAACGCGCTCATGCGGAGATAACCGTTGCTACACCGACATATCATGGTGCACATCTTTGAATAACCTATCAAGCGTTTTCTCGTTGTGCAAATTACAGGCCCCAGCCGGGGTGAGAACTAGGTTGGACACTGTGTTGTAGACGTCCCCCTCGCCAACTGAACACCGTCACTCGTTACTTCATTAAACAGTAACAAAATTATGCTACTCGGGCTTTCTCCTCAGAAATAACTAAGTCGTTACTTCGTTTCTGAAAAAAGTACAAAGGTACAAGTCACTCGTTACGTACAATTCCCTGTCCTGGAACCTTTTCTTCATGTTGCAGGTGACGCAGTTTTTTTGCCGGCTTTACAGGTGTGTTCCCTCGCCTTTCTCGGTCTGCGCTTTCCCGATGTGAATCCTTTGGAGGGACATTTGTGGCCGTTAACACGCCTCGGCGATCCTCAAGCCGCCTCGCTGAATTTCATCTAGTTTTCTGCAACTCTCAGCCTGCGTCTTTGTGTTTAAATAAACAAAAATATTACAGAATCGGGAGTTTTTTCTTATGACTTAAGAGATTCAACGTACCCTTGCCAGAAATATCACAGTTTCGTAGGGGACGAAATCATTTGACGTTTTATCCGTTGAATTTCCGCCGCTTACGTACTACTCAAATCAGTTTGCACACTTTCCTGGAGGTCCGACATTATCGTGACAACAATAATTTTGACGAAAATAATCCCTGGAGAAGGGGAACAAGAGGGACAGAGGACAAAAACAAATCTCCAAACACAGCTAGGTGACTGTTGAGCGACCGAAAAAATCCGCCTGGTACGGGTATGGAACCCGGAACCGATATCCGGACCAGGAGGATTTTTTCTGGTCGCGCACCAGTCACCTAGTTGTAACAATAATAATAACGGTATATGGTTTATTTTCGGATGCGACGAAGTATGATTTGGGTCTGCCGAAGCCAGAATTGGCTTGTGTGGCTAAACCACCAGTAGTAAAGTTATAAATCAATTAATTTCAACATTGTGAAGAGTGCATCAGCACATAAGACACACAAACACACGCACACAAGTTTTAAGAAAAAATAACATTGAAGCATTGGTAAAGTTAGAGTCCAGAGTTGATGGTATGTGGATAGTCGCATTACATGAAGAACACGCACACATACATCGAAATATTAAAAAAATGAAGCACAGGTCCATGTCAAGCTGCCACGGTACTTGAGTTGTAATAAAACTCCCATCACTGGCCTAAGAAAAAAAATATTTAGAGCACAGTTTAAGACGTCCAGAAGATGAATCTGGTTCGTGCAGGCACACTTGATTTAAATTAGGTCTCGTAGGGCTTGTTTCAACTTTTTTTTTCGAATCCAGGTCCCACACTCTTTCAGGGAGACTGTTGAAAATGTCCGGTACATGGTATATTCCCCAGGTAGCACGCCAGAGGAATGCCCAACTTGGGCAAAGGTCTGGCAAACATAAGGGCCCAACTTTGGCGCAGTTAGGTTTTTGCACCATGGCATTCATCAGTGCCAAAGTACGGTGCCTAACTATAGCCTTAGTTGGGCGATCCTATGGCATGCCAAAGTTTGGCTCTTCTCCGGTACGCCAGAGGAGTGCCAAAGTTGGAGCCATACTTGAGCCATAACTGCCATAGTAAGTCCTAATCTGGGAATTCGGGGCGTGCCAAGGTTTGGCATTTCTCTGGTCTGCCAGAGGAGCGCCAAAGTTGGTGCCATACTTCAGCCATAACTGCCAGAGCAACGCCTAATTTCGGTATTTGGGACGTGCCAAGGTTTGGCGTTTCTCTGGTCCGCCAGAGGAGCGCCAAAGTTGGTGCCATACTTCAGCCATAACTGCCAGAGCAACGCCTAATTTCGGTATTTGGGACGTGCCAAAGTTTGGCTTTTCTCGGGTCCGCCACAGGATTGCCAAAGTAGTGCAATACTAGAGCTATAACTGCCAGAGCGATGCCCAATTTGGGTATTTTGGACATGCCAAAGTGTGGCGTTGCTCTGGTCCGCCAGAGGAGCGCTAAAGTTGGTGCCAGATTTGAGCCATAACTGCCATAGTAAAACCTAAACTGGGAATTCGGGGCATGCCAAGGTTTGGCGTTTCTCTGGTCCGCCAGAGGAGCACCAAAGTTGGTGCCATACTTCAGCCATAACTGCCAGTGCAACGCCTAATTTCGGTATTTCGGACGTGCCAAGGTTTGGCGTTTCTCTGGTCCGCCAGAGGAGCGCCAAAGTTGGTGCCATACTTCAGCCATAGCTGCCAGAGCAACGCCTCATTTCGGTATTTGGGACGTGCTAAGGTTTGGCGTTTCTCTGGTCCGCCAGAGGAGCGCCAAAGTTGATGCAATATTTCAGCCATAACTGCCAGAGCAACGCCTAATTTGGGTATTTCGGACACGCCAAAATTTGTTTTTTTCTGATACGCCACAGGAGTGCCGAAGTGTGCCATACTTGAGCCATAACTACCAAAGCAACGCCTAATTTCGGTATTTCAGCCTCGCCGAGTTTGGCTTTTCTCTGGTCCGCCACAGTTGTGCCAAAGTAAGTGCCAGACTTGAGCCATAACTGCCGCAGTAAATCTTAATTTGTCGATTCGGGGCATGCCGAAGTTTGGCTCTTTCCTGGCTACCCACTGAAGTGCCAAGTAAGTGCCAAAAGTGGCAAAGAAAGCCGAGAGGCCAGCCCAAGTTTCGAATATCTCTGGTGTGTCACAGAAGTGCTCTTTTACGCGTCCCAGAAGAGAAATAAAATAAATAAGCGTTGGAAGCACGATAGTAAGATGTCATCACCTCCGTTCCCAAGCAGCACGGCAATACTTTGCAGTATCGTGCCAGTGCCGGCCGAAAGTCGGTTCCAATATCGCTCAACTGTCCAGTTTTGCACCACTGTTTGATACCCGGCAGGTATTGCCGTACAGCTGTTTCGCCCCGGCCTAGCGTTCACGTAATATTGTGCGAAAACTCTACGATGCGTCTGCTTCGTATTGGCCGAACGTCGTGCAAGTATGTGTACGTTGCATGTCATTTGTTGCATATCCAATCACTTATACGGACAAACAAATTTTTTCGATCGCTCCCAGAAGTTTATTAAACAACTATCATTACACACAGTGTATTCTCAACATATTTACAAGGTCACACTTCTCTGTAAAACGAAAAGCAAATTATAAAATACAATTAACACTGTCCTCATGCCAAGCAAAACTCATCACACGTAAAACCGCGGAGAATGAAAGGAAAGCAGGACGACTATCAGAATCATGCTTGCAGTGCACTTACTAATAAAAGAGCGATATCATGTAATCCTTGAGATGCATAATCCAACTCAGGCACCCCACAAACACATTCGAGGAAGAAGGTTGCGCACATTCAACTGACGTCTCGTCGTCGGCGAAGAGCAGTTTTTGTCGAAGCGTGTCCAGCAAACACATCACCAGTATTCCACGAACTCCGGTGCAAAAAATGACTGTTACCGAAAAATTGGCATGGACTTATTCCGACCGTTTACGACGAAAAAACACGGCCGCGTCTGCAACGCACGAAAGCAACAGAACACTGAAGAGCCCAGTTCGAAAACCGGACCTACGTGGCCTGCTTATTTCTATAACAAGGCAAACGGCGAAAACAACAGCCCCAGAGATCCCATCAGCGTGACAGAGAAAGTCACGTGACAAATTTTCGTCCAAACGTTTTTGTCCTACGCGTCTTATGTAGAGAGATCACGCTGAGTCACGCGTTTCGCTTCATCCTTTTGATTTGCTTAAAGCGGCTGTCGAGCACGCTGACAGCCACACGAAGACGCAAAACCAGGTGGGGAGGATTTGCAAAAGGCGAGGTCGAAGGGGCATCAACAACGCATAAAAGGAAAGGCCGCTTCTGCCGGTGACCTTGTCGCCTTGCCTAGCCTGTCAGCGTTCGGCTTCAAGTCCGAACTCGTCGACCCGCATGGACGTCAGGACACCAATTTGACATTGACAAGGCATCGACCTTGGAGGGGGATAAAAGGTGGGCACCGAGGAAGCTGCTGGAATCTTGGTTCATCCAGAACGAGAAACGCGGAAGTGATTCATCGCTGGTAAACAAGAACCGTGGCCCCCTGCCGGACGTGTACACAAACTTTATGCCTAAATAGCCGAACTTTTTTGTGCGACTCTCACTCGCTCTGTGCTCTACTGAAGATGCCTCCCGCATTGGAGGCGCAACGTTTAATTAAATTGTTATTTTTGTTATGTCAAGCCGTTTTTGTTATTACATAAATTAGGAGCGCAACCGGGACATTTTCTCCCGTGAATGACGATCGGGTGCTTGGACTCCGAAGCAGCTCTTTCGGCGTCCATTTGATGTTCTCGGAGTCGGTCGCTGAGGCATCGCCCCGTTTGCCCGATGTACCTGGTCCCGCAGGACAGGGGGATCGCGTACACTTCCTTCGCTTCCTCTCCTTCCGCCAAGATTTCTCTTTCCGGTACTCCCACGGAGCGGGCGGGTTTCGAGGTTGAAGCCGAAAATAAAGTTCGCTCTTTCCACTTGTTTTTGCGTTTCCTCCTCTCCTGCCCTCCTTTCCTCCCTTCACCGCCCTCCCCCGAGGGGCCAACGCGGAGAATGGATTAGGAGACGCCTCCGTTAATCCGGCATAACCCGCCGTAGAGGGGGCGTGCTGCTTGACTAAAAATTATCTCGCTGCACAAAAAAATAAAACAATAAAAAAATAAAAAACGTCGCGGGCAGCGATTTAATGCGCTTTGCCGGATGCGTAACGCTTCGCCCGCCTTGGACAAGCTGGGATGCATTGGACTAACATTTTTCGAAGCGCGGCAGGTTTAGTGTAGGTCCTATCATAATGGTCCTGCAAGACTTCCCTGTCCGCCACAAGCTAGCCAATAATTCAAGGACATAACGACGGCAGCGTATTCAAACAGTGTAAAATAAAATGTATATAATATTTATACACCAACTCATGTTTACAAACAAACCGGAGCGCCCCTAGCGGACGCCACCGGCGCCGCGCATGCGCGGTGGATGGTGGGCAAGAAGCCCGCCGTCGCCCATAAACAAACCATTAAATTGCGTTGTTGTCGGCGTCGGTGGAAGTCCCCGTGCTCTTTTTCGCGTTGGAATTGTTGATGCTACGTCCTACTAACAATGTCTGACTACTCGAGCGGCTTCAGCAAAACTAACGAGGCCAAACTTTGCGTGAATAATGTGACGTGCGACGATTATTTCACGTGGACGCCGAAGAATGGGCGCTAAAGCCTGACTCCCACAATGAGATTCTGCTCGCTGTTTTCAGACGCGACGTTGCTCGGACTGCAAAAGCGTGGGCCGTAGCTGAGACGGTGGACGTCAATACAGAAAACCGCAAGTAGAATCGGGCATTACAAGTCGGTGATGGCCACCGGTAACAATAACGATAAACATCTTGTATCTGTTTACACTCAGCCTACTTACCCCAACCAACCTTCAAAAGTGTTTTGAGGCCTGCACTTAGTTCTTATCGCAATTACCGGATCAACGTTTGGTTTACGGGC